TTTAAACAACGTTTAGTTTGGCATCACAATGTAAACATTCAAGAAGGATTAGACAGATAAGTTTCTCTCTTCCCATTTAGTTAAATAAACCTCAGCAGAGTTAAAAGCCATTATAACAGTAACAAGAAATCCTTTCAGAGTAAGACTCCTGCACAGCAATTAAGAACTTGGCAAACAAACCTATACAAGCATCACAAAATATTTTTCAAAAGAAGGGTTTGCAGTTTTCTGGTTTTTTTTTAAAAGATTAACAATATGAAAACCTACTTCAAGGAAGACATACTGAATTACACTAAATCAGGCAGAGATCCTTAGCTGAAAATGCCATTTACAAAATCAAAATACTAATATTTTAGATCAGAAATTCTATATTTGTTTTAAATGTCAATATCATGTAAGTAGCAAATGAGAGAGATTTCAATTTCTAATTTTGACTGGATTACCTCCTCACAAAGCTCAATAAATAGAATCTAAACAATCTCCTCAGAATGAGACATTTAGTGGTTCAATAATTGCTTACTACACGGTAGTTCTTTAGAAATCAGCTAGTATTGAAGTTTGAGTCCTTTTGGTCTAGAGTTTACGGCTGGATGTGACAGAACAGCTTCAATGCACCTTTTTGCACTGACTGATGCTTATCTAGTGATGGCAGTGTTGAGGTTTTGAAACCGAAGTCGGGTTGTAAGCCTCTTCAAAGAGCCACTGTTTTCCCCTGTTGGGAGGCCAGAGTTCACAGCTGAACCTTATCTTGCTACCGAGCCAACAGAGTTTCCTGTATTGCTTCATTAAGCCAAACATGCCAACTCTATAGGTTTTATTCAGTTGCCTGCAAGGACATTGGATCCAAATTCCATTTTAACGCTGTCAGACAGCAGCTAGGAAATAGTTTCTGTACACAAGGAAGTGCAGATAAATATTTACACATTGCTAAAATGTCTGAACGGACGGTCACTCTGCACACAGTTTGGGGTGAAGGGAGCATGCTGCCATTTCTATTGCACTTGCTCATTCATCTCTTTTATTGGACATGTTTTATTATCCTGGCCCATCGCTTTCCTTTGCTACTTTATCCTGCCTCTCTCAAGTAACGTTCAGTGTAACCGATCTAGTTCCGTATTTATTACTTTAAACAACGTTACAGTTTGAAAATTAGCTTCACAGTTTGAGTGATGATGAAATGTGTTCATGTTTCATACTAAAAGACTGGCAACAGCACAAGGAAAGTGAGGCACCATGGCTACTAGGGAAATACATAAGCATCTTGGCGGAGGGTGGGGAATGTGAGTGGACGAATTATACAAAAGTATCCAGAAGTCAGTAACTTTGCTGTTTCAGACAGATTTATTAGCAAACAGAATTACAGGTAACATAGAAGGGCTTTGCCAAACCAACACATCTATAAAAGGTCTAGATGTTTAGACTACGGTTTTCCATGAGATGCAGTATTAAGCATACAAGAGAATGCCTTTGGGGACCTGTGCTCTGTTTGCTAAGCCGTCACAGACTGACTCCTTGCTTTCTAACCAAGCTTTACATAGCCAATGGAGAATCCCCGTGAGACTCTGCACTGCCCCTTTCATCTGGGTATAAATGTAGCAGGCTTCTAGCCTACAGCGGCTGTCTTGAGACACGGTCCTTCTTCAGTGCACCAGGCAGATCTGCAGGGAAGGAAACGAAATTTCTACAGGCTTCTTCCATTCCCTGCATTTTGCATTCAGAAAGGCAAAAGTTGCCAAAGTGGGATCTAAGAAAACTGGGATAGGTGGGTTCTTCGTTAAAAGGGTAAGGGTTTGGGTAAAAATCAGAGATGACTCTACCTGACAGTAATAAAACTAAGTAATAAGAGCAATGATATAAGAAAGGAAGCAACATATGCACACACATCCAAGGTCATCTGTCTTAAACATAACCATAATATGGCACTGCAGATATGAGTGGGGCAGGGACAGAAGTTGTGACATCAGCACATTTCTCTCATATGCTCGTCTGCCCATTAGTCTCAAATATTAACTTCAATTAAAATCACTGTATAATTCAGCATTAGCTGTAACAGCATTCTCCCGCAAGTATATAAACCTACATTTCCAGATTCTCAGTTTTGGAAACAAGCTTCTTATTCTCAATCACTGTAATTTGAAGAGGATTACATTTGCTCTTTAATCTGAAAGTATGTATTTGACTCAAGGAGTTTCCTCATCAGGAAAGGACTGATACCCTTCTCTGTGATCACTGGTACAATGTAAGAGGCAGTACTGGTAACATAATGCCCTTGGAGAATGGCACCTCCACAGAAAATGGAATTCCCTTGTGTTTTCTGTGTTACCCTGAGAGCATCTTTTATTGCATAAAAACTGGGGGGGGGCGGAATGCTAATGTAGTGTGTCTTAGGTTCCCCTAGGTCTCTCTCCTAGTTGCTTGGCTAGCAGATTCTTACTATGCTAACTATGATCACACTATCTGGGGCCTCAGGAAGGCCCCAGGTCAGAATGGAAGTGATCTTCACCTCACTTTGTAGCATGTAGGTATGGGTCCCTTGCCAGCTTTATCTGGGTATAACGCAATCATTTCTCTTCCATTTGTGGGGACTTGGGCACTGCTGCTCCTCAGTCCCTCCTACTCTTTGCCTGTGGTACCCAACAGTCTCATTGCCTGTGGGCTCTAACACTTTTGTATAATCGTGGTTGCTGAGTTTAGGATACAGGTGCTAAATGGGGTTGTTACCCATGATACAAAAGTTCACACTAGATCAGCAGGCCATAGGCCTGCTTCAGGAAAGTTGCTAGTGGGCCTGCATCACTTTGTTTACCTCAGGGCTTCCACTGGCTCCAGTTCTCCATTTCCAGCTAACGGGAGCTCTGGGAAGCAGTGGCCTGGGCCATGACGCTTCCCTCGGCTCCCCTTTGTTGGAAACGATGAAGTGGAGCCAATGGGAATTGTGAGGCTCCATGGCTATGGAACTCTAAGGTAAATAAAGCAGCATGGGCCCAGTAACAGCTTTCCAAAACAGGCCCGTGGCCCATCTGGAGAAATGCTGCACTAGGGGAGCTGGTGGTCCTTTCTGGCCTTACAATCAGTAAATGTAACTACCTCAGAATCTGAACACTTCACTGCTTTAATGTGTTTATCCTCGTGGTAATCCTGTGAGGCAGGGTTGTGCTATTATTTTACGCTACAGATGGTGAAGTGAGACAGGGATTAAGAGACATGCACAAGGTCACCAAGGAAGTCCAGCAGAGCACAGAACTAAACCCAAGCCTCCAGATTCCCATGTTAGTGCCCCAATTACTGGATTATCCTTCTTCCTACGTAGTTTAAAGGAAGACACAGCAGCACCTTTGGGATTTTCTTTCAATTGACATAAATATTTAGAGAGATTTTCACATACAAACCCATTTCTAACGTTTTTAGATCGCTCTCCATAAAATAGCTTAGACACTAACCAAGTTTGCAATTTTCCAGACGCACTGTAAAACTCAGCTTTTTCCTCTCGGGAGACTGAAGAAGGAAGTAGAACTAAGAATATGGGCTGATGGTTGTTTATATTC